GTTCGTCAAGGAGGGATTGCCTCTTAGCGCGGGTTGCTGCTGGATCCGTGAGTTCTGGGGTCACGGGCTCTGTTGGCTGCTTCCCTTTCCTCGTAGTCCATGTAGGCCCTGCTTTCTCGAGGAGAGCATCAAACGTTCGGAGTGGTTCGATACCCACTGCTTTCCTGAACTCTGTGCTGGGGAGGAGGCCTCTCTAGCAGGTATCTCTTCATGTGGTCCACGCAGGGGACCTGGATGGCTTCGCGGTTGAAGTGGTTGATGAATTCTCTCAAGGTCTCATCCTGCCTCTGGATGATGGCCTCGAGCACCACTTCGGTCTTTGGATGTTGCCGCGACGCAGTGAACGAGCTTATGAATTGGTTTTTCAAGTTTTGCCATGAGGTGATTGACCCCGGGGAGAGACCCTTGTACCAATCCATGGCCACTTTCCTGAGGGTCGTGGGGAACAACCGGCATTTGATTGGTCCCTCGACGTTATGGTAGTGCAGCATAGCTTCGAACCCGTCTATGTGATCAACCGGGTCGGTGACTCCATCATATTCTTTCAGGTGTGGAGGCTTCTCCATACTCGGGAGAATGGGCGCCTCCATGATAACTTGTGATAGGGGACCGCGGGGGTCGTCCTCATCACTTCGCTCCGGGGAGAGGGACGGGGACCTAATGTATTGTCGGTCACAATGGCCCTGGTCGTGCTGGACGTTCCTCGAGCGATGTGTCCGTTGACATGTTCCTCTGTGTCTGTCTCCGGGATGCCTTCGTTCTTGCCGTGAAGGGCCGTGGTCGCGCCTTCCGGCTTCGACGATTGGCTCTCTCTCAAGGGCGGGTCGCCGCCCTTGTGGTCGGGGCGACGGGCTTCGGGAGATGCCCTGATCTTGTCTCCGCGGGGGAGATCGGGGACATTCCTCCATTCTTCGAGGAGGTGGAGATTGAGGCCTCTTGTGTCTCATAGGGGGCCTTCGGTCCTCCTCTAGTGCTCTCAGTCTTTCCCCTTGGGAAAAGATGAGGTAGTTGGTCTGGTTGATTGCCGCGAACAGTGCCCTGGTCGTGGCGTCTGCCCGGGCGGGGACAGGAACTTCATGGAATTGAGCGACTAGATGGTTCGGGGGAACCGGATTATCTTCTTTGAGTCGAAGAGGGACTGATGAAGACGAAGTCGTGGCTCCATCCCGGTAGTTAGAAGGCCCGGGGATGGCGCCCCCGGGGAGTGTATTATGGTCGGGGTTGCCGGCGTTGTCGGGGCCACCGTTTTTGTTGGCGAGGTTGTTGTTAGCATCGACGACGCGAACGTTCTGGTTATCCTGAATCTGGCCAGCCATGGAGGTCGAGGATGGTTTTAGCTTTTGTCTTCGTGAATTTATAAGACGGGGAAGCTTAGTTTCCCACAGACGGCGCCATTGATCTTACCTGATCAGAGTTGGACCGCCACAACTGGTTCGAACTAGATCTGAGAGATGGGGGGTACCTGTAAGATACTCTGATGATAAAGTAAGCGACGAAATGAGCAGGTGAATTGTATATAGGTGTGTAAAGAATGAATACCTGACCCTCATGGAATAAAGGGTATTTATAGCCCCCAGCGCTGGGCCAAGGTCCCTTTATTGGGCCGGCCAAAATTGGCCCAACAAAGGGACTGCCAGGTTCTACGTGAGTAGTGGAGACCTGCACGTGATCCCCTTCCTGGATGATGTTCTGCGAAGAATAAGGAAGAACGAAGACGCGATCTTCCCGAAGCTCTAAAGACTCCGAAGCATCCGGAGGGACTGAGAGTCTGCCCTACGGGGAGGATGCTCGAGCAAGGCTCGAGTTGGGATGTCCTTGGTCGGGGATGCCTCTCGTCGCGGACCGCGGCGGGCACAGCCGTATTAGTTCTACAGCCCGTGACTGGGTATGCTCGGGGGATATGGTTCCTAGCATAGCTCGAGGCACGGTTTAAATTGGGCCTTACTTGTGATTTGGGCTAAGAGCAGGCCCAGTTCAGAACAATAAACTATATTTATTGGTCTATCATGATGAATTACCTACTATTGTAAATTAAATAAGATTATATACTACTTTAATTACTTTATAGTAGGTATGTATATAGTTGGGTAGGTCGCCGGTCCCATCTTAACTCTCTTAAAAGAGTGGAATAGACAAACACGCCAAATAAAAATAAATATAAAAATTTTATTCGATCCGTTAAGGTGACAGACTAATAGATGATAGATTTGTTTACTTTTTTTTTAATATATTAAAAAAAAAATTACATTTTAATTAGTTTTTTCACTTATTTTTCAAAATAATTTTTTATAAAACATTTTTATAACAAAATTTATTTTAAAAAAAATCACATATATTCACAATAAATATATAAAATAAAACTATAAAAAATTAGATCTATTATAATTAATTAAAAAATGATAAATTTAAGGCGAAACAAGTTGAACGAATAGGTACGACAGATTTTAGCGAGCGGCGGATTTTGATGAGGCGGACTTTGATAAACAACTGTCTTTAATGGATCAAATTTTGATGAACACCGAATAATATTTCAATCCAACCTATCATTTTTTAACGGGTATGCAGACCGGTCTGGCAGGCGACTGGCCATCTTACCATCCAAGTATAAACACCCAAAAGAAGATGTAATTATTTATTGATCCAAATAAATATTTTATTTATAAATTACAAAAGATTTATTTAATGAGATAATAATAATTATTAATAAATAAAATAAAAGTAAAAACAAAATTAAAAGTATTAAAAATCAAGTGCACTCGATGTTTTCGTGCCTAGTAAGTTCAACTAGTACTATATATGGTAAATAAAGCCCATCTCTGCTATGATGTTTTGAATAAACTTAGTCATGGTTGATTCCATCTTATTTATAATTCGGTAGCTTAATTTCTGTTGTAATTTGGCAATTAATTTTTATCTATATCTATATCTCCAACTATATCTATAATTTTTTGAAATTTTAATAAAAAAATATTTTTGAAATTTTAATAAAATTCTTTTTTTATAAATTTATGTCAAACGAGATATTATTCGATTTAACCTATATATATATATATATATATATATATATATATATATATATATATATATATATATATATATATATATATATATATATATATATATATATATATATATATATATATATATATATATATATATATATATATATATATATATATATATATATATATATATATATATATATATTACTAAATTATCGACCAAAGAACAGTGATTGGTTTTAATTAGTGATTGAATAAAAAATACATTTTTTTAATAAATTTATGTAAAACATAGTATTATTCGGTTTTACTTGTATGTATATGTTTTTTCATACAATACTTAATGCGTATGTTTTCTAATACAGGACAAAATTATCAGCAACATTTTTTAATGGAAAATTAAAACTGTTTTTTCATACAACACTTAATGTATATGTTTTCTAATACAGGACAAAATTATCAAGAGCTTTTTTTAATGATATTAGGTCTACTTAAAAATATATGTTAACGTATAAATGTAAATATTTGTTTTTTTTAAAGTATTACTTGAATAGTAAGTCACCCACAATCAATGATAGCAATTAAACTTATCTATTATTAAATCAATAATATACGTTAATGAAGAAATAAGTTAAATTTACCGTCTTATCCTTCACATGATATACATATTTGACAAGTTACAAGCACTTCTTTAACTTTTGTTTGATATATTTGAGCAGAGTGTTTGCAGTTCGGTTAAATTGATTTTAAAGTAAAAATTCATCTGATTCAAAGATAAATTTATCTGCGATTTGATTTGGTTTTGGATGATATATTAAAAAAATTTAATTTGATCCGATTCAATTTTATGCGGTTTAATTTAAATCAGTTTTTGGATATCCAAATTACACATTATATTTTTATTAATATTATAAAACTACTAATAAATCATAAATTTTTATTAATATTATAAAACTATTAATAAATTATAGATTTGATATAATATATAATATATAGTATATTAAAAATTAATATTATAAAATAAGAGTGATCGATTATAATTGAAATGGTAAAAATAAATAAATTATACCAAACTAATAAATATTATTAAAAAATTATTATCATCTAATAATAAATTCACATAACATATCATACTAATGAAAAGTAAATAAGTATAAAAATATATGTGTACAATATATGTGTACAGTTTAGTTTGGTTTAGATCGGTTTTGAAAAATTAATTCGAAATTCGTTTCGAATCGACCGTTTTTCATAAAATAACATCCAAACACATCCAATAAATTTTAGTGTTTTGCGACTTTCGATTTTTTGGATTGATTTTCAATTTTTTATTTAGATTGATTTAGATCTGAACACTCCTACAATTGAGTCATTGTGTGAGTTTGATAGTAGGATTGAGAGAATCAAAAGTGTTTTTAAAAACATAAAATTGACACATTAAAATTGGAGTTAAACTTTAATCTTTGTCCTCTTTATGTAAACTAAGATGGAGTAACCACTCGATTCTATCCGGTTATATCATCTTAGTTGGTATGCTTATTTTATAACCACAAAACTAATTAATAAAAAAATAATGGTAGTAACCACTCTGTAAAAAAGATGTAATAAATTTGAGATTTCAATGCATCACAATTAACTTACTACTACTATCAAATCTATCAAAACATTGCTGCATTTTCTTACAAATAACAAAAAACCTGTCTCACACAACACAGAAGTGTATAACAAAAAGAACAAACAAATTAATATAAACTTAAAAATAGTCCTAGATAAATGTATTCTATACCACCTCTACAGCAATTACTCAAATCCTTCATACTCGTCCGATTTTTATCTTGATCAACCAACCTAGCTTCTAAGCTTTTCACAAAAATGTTTCGTGTTTATATCTTCTGCAGATGATTTTCATTCTAAAATCCGAAATGTTCCAGCTGCAATTTAAACAATCGGTTCGTCTTTTGACCATGAAAAAAACCCATCCTCCTTTCGATATTATATCTAAAATAAAGCACTCCAAACAGCTCCATCTCCTTCACCGCATTTCGAGTGTACGTATTTAATCTTCTCAACTGATTTGCAGATTCCGCTGCAGCTCCAATCAAACGATGCAACGCATATGTTACCTGCTTGCGCCTTCCACTCACAGTCTGCAAATCATATAAGACATTCATATTGTTTACAATTTTTTACAAACTTAGTTTAAGTTCTAATCATCTCGGTTTTTTAGAGTGTTTGTTGGTTCCGTATTTCATGATTATATTACCTGGAGGGGTTCCACAGCACATACTGCGGTCATCAATATGCTCGACTTCAAGACCGATGAACCATGAACCAAGTGAGACGTCTTCATTAGCAAATTTGTGTAAAATCGGCCTGCAATCATAACAAGAATATTTTTCTATCTCAGATACATAAAGAGTCTTGCTGGTCTTATTGTCAAGGTCTGATCCACAAGCTGAGATTTCATATTCGGTAACGTTGTTATTTGTTCAGAAAAAGTTCCCAACTTGAATCAAATCATAAAATAAGTACTGTATGAGAAAGCATATACATACTGGTTAATGGAAATGTAAGTGGCCAAATCCTTAGAGATTGCATATATCTGTCCGGTTGCGTGTCGGAAGTATTTGTTTCCCTCTTCTCCAAACTTCCAAAACTCAGGTTCATGGTACTTGACATCTCTATATATAGAAACAAAGCCAAAAAATGGATTAACATTAAGCCAGAATGAGGTGCCTGAAGGTGGAAATAGGGCCCAGATAATCCGGAGTTCAGTGTACATACTTTCGAGATAGAACAGGTCCAGATTTCATGCACCCAATGTAGACCCTCGGTTTTGTACGATGACGGGCAAGGGTTGCGGCTAGGACACCTAAAGAGCAACAAAGAAGAGCAAAGTTATTTTTTGCGGAAATAGGACAGAGAAAAGCGGTAAAAATTTAAAGGACACAACGGCAAGGAAACACAGGAAAGAAGTCTCGAGAATCGTAATACAGCATATATATATACCTAAATTGACATGAACATCATCATCCACTTTGACATAGAAATCAGCATCCCATAATGCAACAGCAGTAGAAAAGAAAGTCTTTGTCTTTGCAGACAGCTCATGATACCCTTCCACATGTTGCTGTAAGATAGCGTAAACCAAATATTAATGTCCTGCCAAATCATCCATATTTTTTCTCACACAAAAACCGTAAGAATAAATAACAGTCTGCCTTACCAGGCGAAGGAAGTCCTTGTGTTGAGCTTCTTCTGAATCAATAGCTCGATCTAGAATGCTGTTGGAAGTTGCACTGAGACAAAAAGGGAAATATCGTAATCGATTAGTGTCATTAAGTATAATCCATATAGATGACTACATCGCGTGGTAATTTGAATAATGCACTGAGACAACAATGGCAATATTATACAGAGTATATTACCTATGGCCAATCATGAATCTGATGACGATTCCTTTCTCTCGTTCCAATTGAAGAAGTTGTTCGCCTATATCAAAACGAAGGGAACAAAAACATGACTTTTCTGTAATTAATCCATCATAACTAAACTCAAGATACCTAAAAAATAGGGATGCAAAACTCAAGAACTAACTTCACAGAAAAAAAAATTGAGGTAAGACAATTTTACCTTGAGGCATCCAAGTTTCTCTAACCGAATCACGCCGCTTCCTGCTACTGAAAGCTGTGTTTATACCTATCACTACAAATGCCTTCTTCTTCTTGGAAGCACCTTCCCTGGAACCGGTGGCCGAGACAGTTGAGTTCTTTTCACGAGAACTCCTAGCAGCTGCTAATTCCATTTGCAACATAGAAACTTGTTTATCTAGAGCCCTAACATCCAAGAAACCAAAACACCAAATTATTCAAACAAAAAAAAAAAATCTTCAATTGCAATTTGCAAAAAGGAAAGAGATTCAATTCAAGTTAGCACTCACTGAATAGCTTCATGGGTTTTATACAATTCATTCATTTCATCCTTAGGATTTTCCTGCTTCTGTTATTCCAAAAGTGGTAGGGTTTATTTACTTTACCAAAAATGCAAAAATGAGAAATCTGAGAATATACCATCAAGCATACCTTTTTGTTAGAACAATCTTCTGAGATCAATTGAAGTTCTTGTTGATCACGCTGATGCTTAGAAATTATCAAACCATTTGATTCAGGTTGCTCCCACACCCTGCCATCAAAAACCCAAAAAACTTCAAAACCAGATCATAAAAAGTTCAAATTTTGAAATAGAAATCTCACACCCCATGATTCAAATTTCAAACCAAAATCATTCATACCTCAATGAAACATAAGATAGACAAAAAAAGAAATAATGGGTAAGAGCTAAGAAAGTTAAAAAAAAAATAAAAAAACCTGTTTGTGATAAGCATGCCAATAAGGAAGGAAAAGACAGAGAAAATTGGAATCCATTTAGCAGAGATTTTGGTAGATGCACGAGTCTTCATCTTAATGTTAAGAGTTAAGAGAAGATTGGTGGAAGATGAAGAAGATATAACAGATATTGGAAGTTTGGTGGGAATGTCAAAGGATGAATTGGTCTTTGGTTTTGGTCTGAAATTCTAATAATGTATGCTAGTACTATGTAGAAAAAGATATGAAGAAGAAACGCAAGTAGTGAAATAATAATTGTAATTAAATATGAAATGGAGTTTAATCTAGTTGTGTATAGATTGGTAATAATTGGAGAGAGTTACACAGTAACATGAGTCGTGAGTTACAGTACGTTTGTGACACGCATTGTGTGGTCGATTGACTGTCATAAGGTTTTTGTGTTGTTTTTGTCACATGGGTGGCTTTTTGTCTTAATTTATTCAATTATGACTTTTCTTTGGTCTTCGTTTGGTTTCTTTTCTTATTTTTGGTTTTAGATGTTGATATTGACTAGTAATAGTAAAGAAAGGAACAAAAAATTAGATGATAGTTCTATTTTGACGATGGTTTAATTAATGAGAATGAGTGAGAAGAAATTATTATGGTTCAATTTGTTTTTTTTTTGGTTTTAGAAAAAAAAACAACTAGATTTGAAATGAAAATAAATGTTTAATCGGTTCATCCGCGTGACTTCATAAACTAAGTATATGTTAGGGGTTGAATTTATACAATTGTGGAAGTTACTATATTAAATTGTTTTCAATTGAACATACACTTAATATCCACACACATTCTGATAATTGTTTTCCTCGACTATATTTTGACGAATTGGTGTTTTAGTACATCATGTATTCAATGATTGTGTTTCTCACTATCTATGTTTTATAGTAATACCATGTTACGATGTTTTATAGTAATACCATGTTATGGCTCGATATACTTGATATTTTAGTTTTTGTCGTACATTTTTATATCCATTAGATTTATAATTGAAAAAAATAGTGATGCACTGAATTTTTTTTATACTATCAATCAATCACGATCATAAATTAGGATAAATTAGATTGTAATTTATAAAAAAATATTAGAAATCCATCAAATATCTATGATGAATTTCTATCAATATCACCACACAATGACAATGAATTATGAGAAAAGAAAAGAAAATAAAGAAGACAATTATTTTCTGTAGAGTTTCTCTCTGCCCACAAACTGTGAAAAACTTTATTAATCACTTGCAACTGCAAATTCTGTGATTACAATGAATTGACTTGATTGTCTTGATTACAAAAATATGGGTTACTCCCTCTATTTATAGATTTAGGTTAGTTTGCTCCTTAAGACAAAGCCCAAAACTATAAAAGTTCAAAATACATATTTTGGTACTAAATCAAATCTATCTAAATCTAAAACAAATCAAATCTATCTGTAGTATTTTCGACACACCTACTTCGATACTCCCTTGTCTCTGTCGAGCAAACTGCTTTGACACAAGGAATTACTTTCAACACACTACCTAATTCATTGTGTCTAAGCTATCTACATTCATCATAGCTCTTAGTCTTCGAAATACTTCGACCTGCACATCCTTCCTCATGATGTCTACAATCTGATTCTCAGTTCTGCAGTGTTCCAAATTTATCTTCTCGTCTGTTACCTGCTCTCGAAGATAGTAGAACCTCATTTCGATGTGCTTGCTTCGACCATGTGCTATCGGGTTCTTCGCCAGATTGATAGCTGACATGCTGTCGATCTTCATAGTAATTGCTCCATGATCTTTTCCTGTTATCTCTTCGACCAAATTCACCATCCAAGTTGCTTGACATGCACAAAGAGAAGCAGCTATGTATTCTGTTTCGCACGATGATAATGCCACTACTGATTCCTTTCTTAAACTCCAAGAAATTAGTGCACAACCTAACATAAACACATATCCTGCTGTTGATTTTTGATCTTCGGTATCACTACACCAACTCGAATCAGTGTATCCCACTAACTTGTATTCTTTTCCTTTATCAACTACAGGAAACAAAATGCCATAGTCGAGAGTTCCTTTGAGATATCTTAGTATCCTCTTCACCGCTGTTACATGTGATACCTTTGGCTTCTGCATGAATCTACTTACCATACCTACACTATATGTTAAGTCAGGCCTTGTATGACAAATGTATCTCAAGGGCCCAATAAGTCTTATGTATTGGATTGGGCCGATATCATCTTCATCTGCATCTTTCGATAGTTGCAGTCTTGGTTCTGCAGGTGTCGAAGTTGAGTTGCATTCTTCCATCTCAAATCTCTTGAGAATTTCTCCTGCATATCTTATTTGATGCATTATCAAACCTCTATTGCTCTTGTAGAATTCGACGCCAAGAAAATATGAAATCTCATCCAGATTAGACATTTCGAATTCCTTGCTGAGATCACCTTTGAAGTCTTTGATCTCACTTTTGCAACTACCTGTTATCAACAAATCATTGACATAGAGACATAGTATAAGCAATTCACTATTGCTTCTTCTTACATATACTCCATGTTCAGTTGTGCACTTCACAAATTTCTTCTCCCTTAGGAAACTATCAATTCTTATTCCAAGCTCTTGGAGCTTGTTTCAATCCATACAGGGCTTTATGCAGCCTGTACACCTTTCTCTCTTCGTCATGTTTCACAAACCCAACTGATTGTTTAACATAAACTTATTCGTCTAAGGATCCATTCAGGAATGCACACTTCACGTCCATCTGACATATGTTCCATATGTTTATTTCTGCTAGATCAACAACCAACTTGATTGTTTCAATCCTAACAATAGGTGCAAAAACTTCATCGAAGTCTATTCCTTCTTTCTGTAGAAATCCTTCTCCATAAGCCTTGCTTTGTGTCGAGTTACTTTCCCTTTATGATTTATCTTTACTTTGTATACCCACTTGACATCAATTGCCTTCTTGCCTTGAGGCAATTCGACAAGTGACCAAGTGTTGTTGTCTTTGATAGACTTTACTTCTTTGTTCATTGTTTTCAACCACTTCGAATCCTTCAATGCTTCAGCTGCATTGACAGGTTCGACATCTGCATAGAAAGTATAATATACCAAATCACCTTTATTATCTATCACATCATTTGATGTAATCACACAATCTTTCAATCTTGCAGGCATGCGTCATGTTCTTTAAGGTCTGCTTGTACTTGATTGATCTATAAGTGCTGGTTCCTCTTGTTGAACTTCTCTTTCGACTTGAGTTTCTGGTTCTTCAAGTAGGATTCCCATTTAATCTTTCTTGACATTTTCAGTCAAATCCCATTCTTTAAGCTCATATATGATCACGTCTCTACTGATACAATCTGCTTGTTTACTGGGTCGAACAACTTGTAACCTCCTGTCGAATGATATTCAACTAGAATCATTTGACTCGACTTGTCATCAAGTTTTCTTCTCAGCTGATCTGACACATGTCTATGTGCAATAGATCCAAATACTTTCAGATGAATCAAGCTAGGCTTCACACAAGACCAACATTCTTCTTGAGTAATTCCTTCTAGCTTCTTCGTAGGACATCTGTTCAAAATATATGTTGCAGTCGACACAACTTCACCCCAAAACTATTTAGGTAAAATTTTTCCTTTCAACATACTTCTCACCATATTCATGATGGTTCGATTCTTCCTTTCTGCAGGTCCATTATGCTGTGGAGTATAGGGTGGCACCACCTCATGCACAATCCCTTCCTTTTCACATAACCTGTTGAAGTCTTTCGACACATACTCTCTACCACCGTTAGTTCTCAAAACTTTGAGTTTTCTACCACTTTGTCTTTCGACCATAAACTTAAACTCGGCAAATACCTCGATCACTTCACTTTTCCTCTTGATCAGGTAAGTCCACGACTTTCAATTGAAATCATCTATGAATGTAACAAAGTATTTGTTATCTCCCATCGAATCCACCTAGATTGGTCCATATACATCAGAGTATATGACTTCAAGAATAACCTTCGACCTGCTTTCTGCATCCTTGCTGAAGCTATTCTTGTGTTTCTTCGCCTACACACATTCCTCACATACCTCGTTTGGAATTTCGATTTCTGACAATTCTGAAACCATATTTCTTCTCTTCAAATCACTGATGTCTCTGAAGTTAAGATGGCCTAGTCGATAATTCCATATCCATTCATCTCTGCTAGCTGCAGTCGAAAATCACTTGTGCTCCATCATATTTAGTTCAATCTTGAAGGTTCTATTCTGAGACATAGGAGCTTTCAAGATTAATCTTCCATTTGCGTCAACGACTCTCATCATCTTATCTTCGATCGACACTTTATCATTCTTTTCAACCAACTGCCCTATACTGAGAAAATTTCTCTTCATGTCTGGTATGTACAACACATTAAAAATTACTGACCTCTTGCCATCTTTCATCATAATCATAACATCACCAATACCTTCAACTGTTAGGGTATTGTCATTTGTGAATTTTACCATATTTTTCATTGAGGGCTTTATGTTGACAAACCAGTCTTTCCTTTCAGACATATGTGATGAGCATCCTGAATCCAAGTATCATTGATACTTGAATCTATCTTCATCTCTTGTTGTGACCATCAGCATCATCTCTTCTTCTTCATGTTTTGCAAACTTTGCATCACTTTCTTGATTCTTTCGCTTTTCTGGACAATTACTCGAATAATGACCATACTTATGAAAATTGTAACATTAAATATGACTCTTGTCAGATTTTCGACCACCACCTCTTTCTCTATTTGCAACACCACCTCTTTGGTTGCCTTGGTATGGTCTTCTCTGATTCGACACGTTTCCTCTGTTCCAGTTTCCTCTATCAGTCGATTTTTTGTAGCCACCTCTACCTCTATCGAACCACTTTCCTTTGCCTTTAGTTTCTTTTGATGAATGTGCCTGAAAAGCCACACCACTCTTCGACTTGCCTACAGCTCTTTCAGTCATTCTTTGTTCATGAGATTCAGACTTTCCTTGAAGCTCTTCCTTTGTCAATTTCGACAAGTCTTTCCCCTCTTCTATAGCCACCACCATGGGGTCGAACTTAAGAGTCAAAGATCTCAAA